TTAGATAAAGAAATTCGTATTTGATTCTTTGAAAAGTGACTCTTAAATTACTGAAAGTCAAAGGGAAACAAGAAACACCTCAAGTCAAACCACGTTTTATTGAACTCCAAAGCAAAAAGAGTGAAGCTAGTCTTTCAAAACAAAATGGCGAGTAATACAAGTACAAGATCGTCACCACAGGAACCCCAACCTCGGCTAAAAACATTTAATAAAMTTTWATCCGCCTTATACTTCAGACAAGTCTGGGACCTACAGATCGGGTACTGATTGACACAATAAGGTTCTCAACAATACGGATGACATTGACGATCGCAAGTTCATTCAAAGATTAACATGTTCTTTTCTTTTGCCCGAGGCAGTAAGCTATTAAAGGTTGCTTAGACGCATTAAAGGCGAAGAATGGATTACATCAACATCAACATCAACTATAATTCGTATTTATTTAATTTTTTATTCACTTGTTTGTTTAAGTGATTCGTTCATCTGATAATCTGCCTCGGGTTATTTATTTGCTCTCAACATCTTTAAAAAATTAGATTTGTATTAAAATTCTTTATATTATTTCACATGTTTTTTTAAGACTTCCCGGAAAAATTTTCGTAAAAATATTTTAGAAGAACATATTGCTTGGGAAAATTTTTTAATTTCAATTTTAACTTTTTAATGCTTTCTATGAGAAATTAAACAGAACGGGATGACGTAGGAAAATCTGTATTAGTTAAGATTCAACTCGAGAATCTCATGTGTTAACTTGCGTGGAATTGTAAACAGTCCCTGAGACTTGGTTTACGATTGCTAACCCTGGGTCATAAAATACTTCATACCGTCTGTTCGTCACCACTACATATTATCAGAAAATGATTTCCTCTTCTMCCACGGGAACTCGAGGTTTACAAGCAGAGTCTAAAATGATGCCCAATCCTCGTTCGAGGTGCTCGAGGTCAAATTCTTTGACTGTCGGCGGAATATAAAACGAAAAGCAATTTTAACCCAGACATTACCGTCTTGCGGTATCGTCGAGGCCTTGAAGTGAAAGTATTTTCTTCTTCAACTGAATTTGCACATCCCTTTGTGGAAGRCCATCGAGTTGTCACACAAGGTAACTGATAGTTGACTTTAGTGACATTGAGTGATGTAACTCTCTATGAGGATAGATTTATAGGTTTTTGATATGCTTAGATTAGCAGTTGTAGTGACGAAAACAACTCTAGAGAAAGGACTGAGCATCTTCGGTGTAATCCAGGCGTGTCCCTATGAAAACTGTACACACCCTTGTTCATATTTCCTGTGGGGGAAGGGTTGTGTCCGTTTGGTCACATGTTCCCCGGTCATTTCTATTTACACCCTTAGGTACATAATATATAGAGGACTAGATCTTGACACGATTACCCATCAGAATAGACAAGAGACCATTGTCCTGCTCAAGACGATTACCGCCGCAATACATTAGTGAAAATTATATTTCTTGGATCTACAGACTAAGTCTGAAACATGGTCAAAACACAGCATGGTCTCCTTCTTTAGTTTCCAGACAGATTAGACTATGTCACCACATCGATCCCGTGATCAATGAACTTTTACATAAAAGACACAACTGAAATACCATTTACGTGACCTTCATCGAGATCGGAAAGACTGAAGAGGGCTGTCCAATACTCCGACAAATTTATATATAACATAGTATTGTATTATATCCACAAGATAACTGCTATGTCTAAATTCACCAGGGTATTGGAAGCACAATTCAAAGGTTATTCCAGTTATCACAATTATTTCGAGCATTTTTGAGTTTGTTTAAACCAGTCGAGTGTTATCAGTCATTCACCTTTCAATGATCATGCGCTGTAAGCGATTTCCATTTTTCTATATATAGCTTCCCTAAATGCAATTTGTTCTTATAACTTGTAAATTCTCACATAACAACAATTATATATTAAAAACGAATGTTAATTACAGTAAAAGACATCATTTATCTAACCTTGCATTTTTATAATAAACACCATGCGTTAATCATCAAAAGTGCTTGACCTGTCTCAATAGATACACCAAATCTGTGCTTTGTGATACACGGGGACAGATCTTAAACACAAAGTATGCCAGATATATATCATTTGAAGAAAGCCTGGCACGCAAAAGATTTCGCAGTCAATTAACGAGTATTTACTTAAATAATCGTGATGTTGATGAACCGTATACAATCATGTGATGTGACGAGAATCTAAACACAATGGGCGTGGTCGAAACTAACTACTAGTCATATGGTCCTAGTTTAGTGCCATCGCGTTTAAGGGTGTTATATATATACATACGTTTCTCATCTTCGGATGACCAGACACAAGTGTTATCACAAATCACACATATGAAATTATGTATCCATTAGTAATCATTATCGAATAATGAATTAATGTGAGAGGGTGTTTGATATGGGGTGATATAATTTGTGCCTCTTAATGATGCCTAAATCTACTTTTTGTTAGAAAAAACTTTTGGTAAAATTACCAGCTCGGTTCTCAGGATGACCCCGGCGCTCGTTAAGGTTTAGATGAATCAGATTACATTAAAACAAACAGCTCAGCACCAACAACAACATGAACAGTAACAACAGCAACAACAACAACAGCAGCAGCAGCAGCAACAACAACAGCAACAACAGCAACAGCAGTAGTAACAACAACAACAACAACAGCAGTAACAACGATGACAACAACAGCAGTAATAACAACAACAACAACAACAACAACGCTAAAAGAATTGATTTGGGTTCATACATTATTTTTATCATTCGGTTGATTGTGCATTATCATTACAATTTGGTTTTGAGACTATTTAAAAGATCAATAAAACTTAACATGTGCCTTACGTGCCCTTCGCCCGAATCTCTCCGGTCGGAGCACGAATAACATACGAGCAGTCAAGACTAAAAGTCTCCGGTCCCGGGGTTCCATATGAGATTGCGTTGTTTTCTTTAGCCATGTATGTTGTTGTATATGAATGATAACAAATTAATCTTCTTAATCCTTTTAATGTTAATGCTTTTAAGTATGKCCCATTAACCAGTGACCCAACAATGACGAAGAAA